GTTGACCAACTGTTTCTTTTTCAGTACTTTTAATTGGACAAAGCGAAATTATATTAAAGTTTAAACTTTCAAAATTATTATATTTTAATTTTCAGTTTTAGTTTAATTAAAATCTTAATTTATAGTATAACATACTATTAAATATTTGAATGGAGGTTATGAATTGATTAATTTTCATTAGTGTGGGGGTTTAAATTATACACTATAAAAAGGGAGGACACAACATCAAAATCACAATCTTGATATACAACTAGAAAACACAACTTGAGATGATTGAATTCAAAAATATTCTCTACAATTTTATAATATACTATTTTGGCAAATCGATGTAAGGCTCGTTCAATTATCTCCCTGTGGTCGTGCCCATAGGAGGAGAGCCACATGTGTTTTATCTTGGAATTGTGTAATGTGGAAAGAACTCGTACGAAAGGGAAGCGACACGATTTTAAGACAGCGTCCTCGACGTGACTCCCAAGACTTGCCATTTCTAACTCATCTCTTATGTTTGTATTCTTATTGAATTATATTATTTATATGTTTATGTTTAAAATATTTGTATTAAATAATATTTTATCTACACACAAATCATCATTTTTTCAAATAGTTACATCAATGCAGCATTAATTAAGTATATTTTATATTTGCAGGTAAATTGTTTTTAAATAATTGAACTTTGAGTCGCTTCATGGAAATCTTATCAAACTTCAAAATGTTGTTGAAACATAATTGAACTTTGTCAAAATGCTCTCCCATTCATCACTCGCAAGAATTCATTACGTTGACTTAAACAAAATTGTCCATATTAATATGGAATTCACATATTGAACAAATTGTCGTTTGATTCCCCCAATAAGAGATGGATGGAGAGCATTTTGTCAAGATATTTACGGCTGTCAACAATATTTAAAAATTTTGTTCAAGTTAGCACATAATTTTAACGAGCTATGAATGGAGAGCATTTCATAGAGTTCAGTAATGTTTTAACAACATTTTAAAACAAGTCTTTCGAATTTACGTGAATTAATGAGTTTAATTTAGGAATAATTGTAGCAGCACACAAGAACAAATGGTGAATCCATTTGGCTGTTAGCTGATCTAGAAAATGAAAATTTGACCAAATTAAAAAGGGTAAAATAGTAACTTTACATTTTTTTCACATTCAATAATTAAAATATGTAAATTAGAAAAATCAAAATAAAAGAAAATAAAACTCATCCCACCTAAAATGTAAAGTTATCGTTTTACCCTTCTTAATTTTGTCAAATTTTCATTCTCTAGGTCAACTAATAGCGATTTCATCCGTTTATCCTTGTGGTGTAGGAAAATGAAAGGTTTGAAACTGTAGTGAGTACAAAGTGAAGATTGATATAAAGTTTTTAAAAAAGTAAAAGGTTTTGGATTGTTGTTGCGATTATCCCTTCAATTTAATTATCCAATCAACCAAGGCTCCAATTAGATCAAAACGTTTTAACAAAGCAAGTTTTGATCAGGTTTAACTTAAATAATAACGAGCAATTGATGTCATTGAAACTAAGGCTTTGTTTGTCTTCATTTCTTCCACACTTTACAATATTTTTTTTTACAGGACTCATTTTCATTCACATTAATCATTATAGAAAATGAATTACAGAATAGTAGTTTTTTGGAAAATGTGTGGTTAAAAAGTAAGAAAAAGTTTTTGAAATTCGTGAATAATTATTTTATAGAAGAATGTGGTTGAAAATGAGTTTTGAAAAAATGCATTATTGAAAAAATGGGGATCAAATAAGGGTTAAAATAATATTATACATAAATAAAAAACTTTTCTTTCTTTTTTAACCACACATTTTAATATCAATAATTATTCCATAATACATTACACACAAATAATTGGACACAAACAAGCACTAAATATATAAACATAATAGGATTGATACCTTAAAAAGCAAGTTTTGATTAGGATTGGAAGTTAAAGTCAACCCTCATTTTCTATATATATGTAAGCCCCGTTTGGCCCTCATTTTTTGTAATGAAAATGGGGGGAATAGTGTTTTGTCGAAAAAATAAGCGGTTGAGAAAGAAGGAAAAATTTTCGATTTACGTATAATATTATTTTATGGAAGATTGTGTGGTTGAAAATAGGAGAGAGAAAAATAGAATGTAATGAAATGTAATTTAATGGGGATCAAACAGGGGCTAAAAGTAAGTTTAACTTAAATTTTTATTTGGTCAAATCTCTTCTAGAACCATAGATTAAGCCTCCTGAACTTTGTTCATTAAAGTCTACGGAAAAGCCTTTCAATGAATCTCGCTTCCGTCAGATTATTGACTAAACTTCCTCTAGAAACAATCTTAAATCATTTTATTAATTTCTTCAAAATCAACCTCATCCAAAGTTTTTCCCATTCTTTTACGTCTCCAATTTATTATATAAACTGCAGTTAATGTAATCATTCCCATTCCCTTCTCATCATCTTCCTCCACCATCTGCACGACATAATACTGCCGTTTTTCCCTTCAAAGGATTTTATTGATTCCAAGTCATGGGAAAGCAAATGGGTTACATGCACTATTGGATTGAGGAGGTTGCTCCATCCTCTCTCGTATTTCCTCGTAAGCCTTCGAATGCGCCAAAACTCGAAACTATTGCAGAAGAAGGATCTGATCAAAAGTTGAATTTTGCCAACAAGAGGATGTGTAGTTTTCTTCTTCCTATCTTCATTTCTTTGGGTTCGTACCTATTGATAAACAGATATAATGTTATTATCTGATTTGAAGAACTCAACGACTCTCATCCCGTTCTTGAAGGGCGTATCTTGTAAGATTATGAGCAAGTTGGGCACTGTTTCTTTGTAAACGAGTTTTGAAGTTGAGTTCTATCCCATGTGATTACGATGAAGATATTAGATCTGTAAAGATGGAGTCAATGGCAACAAGGAGATGAACCACACGTACCATTGGCTTTTCAAGAACATTGCTAAAGGATTTGGGATTCGATCCCGTCATCACAAGAAAGAAATGTCCAACCTTTATATTTCTTTCTTTTCAATAAAGGCGAAGACGAATTCTGAAATACTCTTTCGATGCAATCATGAAGTTATTTTGTAGTTGGTTACTTATGTACATCAAATCAAATCAAATATCAATATATAATGTTTAGCTCCGGTGCCGGGTTGAAATAAGATATGATATTGGCCTGTTGTTTTCTTGAAACGTTGTTGATTGTTTCATTTTTAGCATCTTTTAAAGTTAGAAACTTGAAATCTTATTACGTGTTGTAGAGTTGTTTTTGTCTTTGTAATTTTCTTTTTCTTTTCCTAGTATGTCGCTATGTTCATATTTGTTTCTGGATAGATTGAGCTTGTGTATCTGGTATGTCTATAATTTATTGGATTTGGTTAGTTGAAGAGTTACTTTGGGATGAACTTAGTGCACATGATTGTAGACGCTTGAAATTTACAGTCACGCTGTAGAGTGCTGTATTCATGAATATTCTAGACTTGATACTTGATAGGGTGCCTATCCTGCCATGCTCTTATGATTGGGCCAGACATGATACAGAAAATGTCCAGGTTCCACGAGTGTGATCATTTGCATAAGGTTTAATGCTTGGGTGTAAACTAGGCATCACTATTTATAAACGTGTTAAACAACCCACATTTGGGAATGGTGTACCCATTTGATGTAGCACAATCTCTGAATCTCTGATTGGTGGTACGTATGGTTGATGGTGGAATATGGGATGCCCCCATGTGTCTATTCCGCTTCACAGGGTTTTCTTAGGGGTGGAGGTTTTTGTGCTCATTACATTAACTTGCTTATGAAATTATTTTGAGTTATATTTTGGGTGATAGACATATGATCCTGGTAAAGGTATAAGGATCATGTGTGCTGCAATGGGTTGTAGCATCTTGGCCAATTGGCTCTATTTTGTTGGCTTATCAGATACAAATAGGCAGTGTCCTGTCACATGACTCTTTAGCCTTCCTTGACTGAGACTTGTTAATTGATCTCATCCACTTGAAAATTCATGTAGAAGTTGCTAATTCTACTTTGTAAAGAGTTGCCTCGGTCCCATTGCTCGCCCCGCGATCCCACCTTCAGTTTCTTCTTTCCATTTGTACGAGAAAGTTAGTGGATCAGTGTGCAGGTCAGTCACCCTATCTTGCGTATTTTCGTCTTCAGTTTTTGTGCAGGGTCGACAGATGATATCTAATTTATCCTCTAAGGTGGTTTATTCTACTTGAAAGCTAGTAAGTAGTAAAAAGTGTCTTGTGGTTCATGTTTTAAATATATATTTTTAGTAAAGACTAGGCGGAAATATAGTTTAGGATTCAAAAATGTTTCTTGACATAGGAAGCAAAGTAATGGAAAACTTATGAACAAGTGTCATATATTAGTGTTTTTCTGGTAATGCTTTTAAGTGCTTATAAGTTGTGGGTCCTATGTTTGACCATCTTAATGAAAATTCAAGCTTTGCCAATCTTGCACTTAAAGAAGCAAATTGATCTGTTATGACAGTTTGGGGCTTGATGTTGAATAGTCAGGAGATATTCTACTGCGATAAGAAGTGGTCTGGAAACATAAATTACTGGAATATTAGAGAAATGAGATATCATTTATGGAGAACGGGAGATTGTTGCTTGTATAAAATTATTCTGACGGATGGAAACAGAACAATGAGTTCTTTGGTCAAACAACTAGCATGGAATGAAGAATATTTGTGTTTGTAGTGCAAAGAGAATTAATCCTGTCTTAATTAAAACTACGTGCTATATATTGTTGAACGCATGAAATGAATAATTTATTGCTTGAAGTGATCAGTATTATTAGCAAAGGGATGAAGTGTATTTGTGTTACTGTAAAGAGAATTAAATGTGACTTAATTGAAACTACAGTCTATATCTTGTTATGCACTTGAACTTTTCCTTGCTTCTTTTGAAGTGATTGGTATCATGAGAAGGAAGGCATTGATCCAATTCAATAAAAATTCAACATTAATCTAAATAGTGCACAAAATTGAGGTTTAACACCTTATCAAACTAGAAATCAAAAGAAATTTTCACTTCAGGCATTGTTGCACATTTTGAGCCATCACTTGATACAACACTACACCTTAAGCTACAAATGAAATAAATAACCCAGTCAATCTCAATCACATAACTCAAAAACCTTTGCTTGACAAATATTAAACGTCACCACCTGACAAATCGAATCACAAGAAACCTCGATTGAGGAACAATGATTCCGTAGAGACACCAGAAGAGTCTAAAATTGAACCCTTGAACTTCAGTAGAGCAGATCCTCCCGTATCAGAACCCCAAACAGTGTGTTGTTGAACCTAAAACAGTATCGAAATGAAAATTAATAGCTTCAACAGCTTGTGCAAACGGAATAAAAAAACTTACCAAAGATCCTCGCTTCCCTTCAAAAAAGAAGCAATGAACGAGATCTCAAAACCAAAAGAAAATAGAAACTTACCTAACATAGACTTTGCTGCTGTGGTTACGGCAAATGGGAATTCTAATGGAACGAAAGGGAGCTACAGCCTTTTTTATGAAGGAGAGGAAAGGAATAAAATTAAGGTTATCTCGACTCCGACAAGCCCTTACTACCCTATAAAACCTATCTCCATGTAGGAAAAGGAAAAGGGAAAGGAAGGAGGTTAAAAGGCTGAATCGTGTGGGAGAAGTGGACCATTAAAACACTTGTTGAAGAGATATTTTGTGCATTGAAAGAAACTGGTTAGTGAACAGTAATTATCTAGTTAAAGTGTGAAAAGGAAAGCAGAAAAATGAACAGTAAAAAGCTCATTGCCTCTTTTTATTAAGTGCATATTTAGATGCATTTAATTTTTTAAAATTAAATATTAATGAAAATGTAAAGTAAAAAAAAAAAAAAAAAGTGGATAAACCTCCGTGCACGGAGGTTTGCTAAATGAGTTTTTTTTTTTGTAAATTTATATTTTTGTGTTCATTTTCAGGCTCATTACGGAATATCAAACGAAATCGAAATATTACATTCTTAATAGCATTTTAAAGTACTTGCGGCATAGTGTTGTACATCGTTAACAGTGTGTGAAACGGCTAATCGTAGCAAATGTTACGGGACGTTAAAATATGCATTTTCAAACTATATTTTGAAATTTTCGATAATAAGCTAACTTTAAAAATTCATTGACGATTGTACGATGGTCGAATCGATAAATTTTTTACATTCTCTCGAAACTCATTTCAAGAACTATATCATAGACATATCGAAAGATCTAAATGAATATCGAAAATAGTTAAACTGACATTAAACATATGTGTTGCCAAATCACTTCCCAAACCAGTCAAGTTATTTAAAAGTAAAAGAAGAGATTACACTATCTAAAAGATAAAAAATTACTTATAAGTAAAAAAATCACTTCAAGTTATTTAAAATAAAAAAAACTTATAATTGTAAAAGCTACTTATAGGTAAAAAAAAAATATAAAACGAACTTATAATTGTAAAAGCTACTTATAAGTAAAAAAATATTAACTTAAAATTTTTTAAGTATAAATATTTAGATATATATAGTTTTTAAAATTAAATATTAATAAAAAGATTAAACTATGTAGAACGTAAAAAATTACTTATAAGTAATAAAATCACTTCAAGTTATTTAAAAGTAATAAAAATTATAATTGTAAAAGTTACTTATATGTAAAAAATATTAACTTCAACATTTTTAAGTAAATATTTAGATATATTTAATTTTTTAAAATTAAATATTAATAAAAAATGTACTACAAATAAAACTAAAAAAAAAAGTTCACATTGGTGCGGGGACTCCCCGCACGCATAAAACTCCGTGCACGGAGGTTATAACTTTCGTGCACGGAGTTTTGCTAAAGTAGTCTTTTTTTTAATTTATATTTATGTGTTCATTTTCAGACTCATTACGGGATAGCAAACGAAGTTGAAATATTACATTCTTAATATCATTTTGAAGTACTCGCGGCATAGTATTGTACGTTGTTAACGGTACGTGAAACGGCTAATCGTAGCAAATGTTACAGGACGTCAAAATAGGCATTTTCAAACTATATTTCAAAATTTTCGATAATAAGCTAACTTTAAAAATTTATTGACAATTGTACGATAGTCGAATTGATAAATGTTTTACATTCTCTCGAAACTCATTTCAAGAACTATATCATAAACACATCGAATGATCTAAATGAATATTGAAAATAGTTAAACGGATATTAAACGTATGTGTTAAAAAATGCGTATAAGTCGTTTTTCTTAAAAAAAAATCAATTATTTTATTACTATTTATTATTTTTTCGCAACAATTTTCACAATACATCATTTTGCTCAAGAAAAATTATGTGGTATGACGTAAATTTTTTTCTGCATGCACGAAGTGAATATGTTTTTTTTTTTAACATTTTATTTACAATAATTTTGTTTATTAATATAATTTTAAAAATTTAAATATATAAGATATGGTCGATAGTTTATAGCGTGAGAATTAGGGGAAAGAGCATGATATGTTAGATTCAAAGTAAGGGAGAAATATTGCAGTGGACAATAGCGTGTGACAAAATTTCTGCAGTATTTTTGAATAAAATTTTTCCTGATGCCAAACCAATTCCCAAACTGGTTAAGTTATTTAAAAGTAAAAGAGGAGATTACACTATCTAAAAGATAAAAAATTACTTATAAGTATAAAAATCACTTCAAGTTATTTAAAATAAAAAAAACCTATAATTGTAAAAGCTACTTATAAGTAAAAAAAAAAAAAATATTAATCCCTCATTCTCTTATAATTGCAAAAGCTACTTATATATAAAAAAAAAATGTGAACTTAAAATTTTTTTAGTATAAATATTTAGTTTTTAAAATTAAATATTAATAAAAAGATTAAACTATCTAAAACGTAAAAAGTTACTTATAAGTAATAAAATCACTTCAAATTATTTAAAAGTAATGAAAAATTATAATTGTAAAAGTTACTTATAGGTAAAAAATATTAACTTCAACATTTTTAAGTAAATATTTAGATACATTTAATTTTTTTAAATTAAATATTAATAAAAAATGTACTACAAATAAAATTAAAAATAAAAGTGCACATTGGTGCGGGGACTCTCCGCACGCATAAAACTCTGTGCACGGAGGTTTGTTAAAGTTGTTTTTTTTAAACTTATGTTTTTGTGTTCATTTTCAGACTTATTACGGGATATCAAACGAAGTCGAAATATTACATTCTTAATATCATTTTGAAGTATATGCGGCATAGTATTGCACGTCGTTAACGGTGCGTGAAACGGCTAATCGTAGCAAATGTTACGAGACGTCAAAATAGGCATTTTCAAACTATATTTCGAAATTTTCGATAATAAGCTAACTGTAAAAATTCATTGACGATTGTACGATAGTTGAATCGATATATGTTTTACATTCTCTTGAAGATCATTTCAAGAACTATATTATAGACACATCGAATGATCTAAATGAATATCGAAAATAGTTAAACGAATATTAAACGTATGTGTTAAAAAATGTGTATAAGTCGTTTTTCTTTTAAAAAAATCAATTATTTTATTACTATTTATTATTTTTCTGTAACAATTTTCTCAATACATCATTTTGCTCAAGAAAAATTATGTGGTATGACGTAATTTTTTTCTCCATGCACGGAATGAATATGGTTTTTTTTACATTTTATTTACAATAATTTTATTTATTAATATAATTTTAAAAAGTTAAATATATAAGATATGGTTGATAGTTAATAGTATGAGAATTAGGAGAAAGAGCATGGTATGTCAGATTCAAAGCAAGGGAGAAATATTGCAGTGGACAATGGCGTGTAACAAAATTCCTACAGTATTTTTGAATAGAATTTTTCTTGTTGCCAAACCAGTTCCCAAATCGGTTAAGTTATTTAAAAGTAAAAGAAGAGATTACACTATCTAAAAGATAAAAAATTACTTTTAAGTAAAAAAATCACTTCAAATTATTTAAAATAAAAAACTTATAATTGTAAAAGCTACTTGTAGGTAAAAAAAAAAAATATTAATCCCCCATTCTCTTATAATTGTAAAAGCTACTTATATAAAAAAAAATGTGAACTTAAATTTTTTTAGTATAAATATTTATATATATTTAGTTTTTAAAATTAAATATTAATAAAAAGATTAAACTATCTAGAACGTAAAAAATTACTTATAAGTAAACAAATCACTTCAAGTTAATTAAAAGTAATAAAAAAATTATAATTGTATAAGTTATTTATAGGTAAAAAATATTAACTTCAACATTTTAAAGTAAATATTTAGATATATTTAATTTTTTTAAATTAAATATTAATAAAAAATGTATTACAAATAAAAGTAAAAAAAAATTTAATTTGCCGGCAAATTATTATTATTATTATTATTATTATTATTATTATTTTTTAGCTTATGTTTTTGAGACTCATTACGGGATATTAAACGAAGTTAAAATCTTACATTCTTAATAACATTTTGAAGTACTTGCGGCATAGTATTGCACGTCGTTAACGGTGCGTGAAACGGCTAATCGTAGCAAATGTTACAGGACGTCAAAATGGACATTTTCAAACTATATTTCGAAATTTTCGATAAAAATTCATTAACGATTGTACGATAGTCAAATCGATAAATGTTTTACATTCTCTCGAAACTCATTTCAAGAACTATATCATAGATATATCGAATGATCTAAATGAATATCGAAAATAGTTAAACGGATGTTAAACGTATGTGTTAAAAAATGCGTATAAGTCGTTTTTCTTAAAAAAAAAAATCAATTATTTTATTACTATTTATTATTTTTTCACAACAATTTTCTTAATACATCATTTTACTCAAGAAAATTTATGTGGTATGACGTAAATATTTTTCTCCATGCACGGAATGAATATGTTTTTTATTTTTACAATAATTTTGTTTATTAATATAATTTTAAAAATTTAAATATATAAGATATGGTCGATAGTTAATAGCGTGAGAATTGGGAGAAAGAGTCCTATTGTATTGTTGAATGAAATTTTTCCTGCTGCCAAACCAGTTCCCAAACCGGTTAAGTGTGAAAACGAGTGTGATAAAAATGAATTGTAAACCCTCATTCTCTCTTTTATGGTAGTGTAGATGTGCATTTGTAATAAATTTTAATAGTTTAATCAATAATAATTAATTGAGAATATTATTTTGAATTTGTAATATCACAATATTACGATTCGAAACGTATTACATTCTTTTTAGTATTATGATTTAATATTTTCATAGTTGTTGTATTTCTATTAATTGTACTACATGTTTTAAATTTATTAATGAATTAAATATTTTTGTTAACAAAACATAATTATTTATTTAATAATTCATGTAGTAATAAAATAAATAAATAATTTTTGAGATAAATAAATTGTTAAGAATTAAAAAAATGAAGAAAATTATTAAACACTATTAATTTGGTGCAACTTTTGATGTAATGAGTGAGAGTTGATTTTCACTTTAATGTAAGATTTGATGCAAAATGATGCAACTTTTGGTGTAACGTTGGAGACAGCCTTAGAATATTTGGCTAAGCTTAGTTTGTTAGTA